CAAATAAAAAAATTCAGCCCCTCTTTACATTATGTTTTTGAACCATAATAAATCATAATTGTGCACATACGCTGTATTTGATGGCAAAAATATTTGGAAAAAAATGTTACAGATGTATATCTCTTTGTTTATTTTAACGAATTTCTTTGAAATAAACGAAATCAGCCAACAACGATATACCTCTTATCTGGCTTAGTTAGAACGTAAAATGGAGAAATATTTGTAGGACCCTACAAGGGTAGAATTACACCGTCCTTTTGTGAGCTTCTATTGTTCAACTAATTGGAAATTAGAGTTAGAAAGAGGACGTGAGCGCTGTAGCTCATTACATCCCACGTTTAAACTACCATTTAATATCTGAAACCAGCCTTGACAAATAGGAAAAAAAAATCAATAGGTTAAGTGCTGAAATTGTATACCTAGCTAATGGTATAACCTAATCTTGTAACATAAGTTTTTATTATTATTATTATTGTAAATAGGTTTTATTTACTGTAATTAGAGCTAGAATGTTAACTCAAAAAGTTCCACAGTTGCTTGAGTGTTCTTTTTTAAAATAATCTATTTCGTTTTTATTTTCTTTTTTATGTATGTTTTCGTCTTCCAGTAGGTCAGCGGTTCGTTTACGGACTTGCAATTCTAACATTTAGGGCTCAGTTCCTTATGATAGACAGAACACAAATAGCCTATTATGTAGCTTTGCGCTGAAACGAACAAACTCTCGGTAAAGTCTATTACATGAAATTTTGTTCACAAATTCCTATTAGGTAAAGTGACATCTATTGACAGTAATAACAAATATTTTCTATAGCTAGGAAACACGCCAAGAGTAGCATTTCACTTTGATTAAACCGATATTAAAATATCGGGAATTACAACAGCAAATGAATTTGAAGAAGTTAATGAAAATTTTCAATAAAGGGATAACAGAGAAGAATTTCCATTCTCTTCAACAGTACATCTCACAACAATGTAACTTTATCAGCAAGCCTTCAATGTATATAAAAGATTGAATAACTCAAATCGTTGATCTAAAACAGTAATGCTCGAGTCCCTTATAAACATTCTGAATTAACACAAAAAAACGACCACATTATGATACTGTTTGGAGTTAGAGATATATACTATTTAAGTCAAGTAATGGTTTCCTATTAATAACAGTGCTGCTGTATTACAATATACCGAAACACAAAAGGTTCTTTTGAGAAAGGCTAATTTATTCAGGACCAAACTTTACTTTTATTGTCTAACAGTAATCCTCCAAGGATCCAACTCGAATGGAAGATAAGTACCTGTTATCTAAGCAGTTCGCAAAGTATAAACTTACACCGCATAAAAGAGTTATTTTACCGCTTATGCATATAGAAAAGTCTTGTACTATGGATTTTGTATTATCTCTTTGCAACTTCGTATTATTCTTGCAGTGTGCTAAGTCGTCTTTCTTTTTATTTCTTCTCTCTCATGAGTGTTTAGAATGTGTTTAAACTGAAGAATTTGCTTCTAAATGTGTAAGCTTGAATTTTGGGATTACACTTTTAATTAAGCGATTCAAAACCATGTCTTTACTATCTTTTATAAATCCAATATATTAGAAAAACAAAATCACATTGCTTGTTTCTTGGTTTTTATAGCAGATTTTGTTATAGTTCATTGTTTGACATCTATATAGTGACATAGTTTTCATATTTTACAACTGTTTCCTCATTATACCACTTCATCAGTATGAACATGCAAAAACAGTCTAAGGTAAACGAGTTAAAAAAGGTAAACATATCTATTTCAATAACTGTACTTCATATATACAAATGACAAAAGTTTCATCTTGGTTGCTTCTTTGTTATTAAGCACAGAGCTACATAAAGGACTGTCTGTACTCTGTTCATCGCGGGTATAGAAACCAGATTTTTAGCATTAGTAGTCCACAGGTTTACCGTTAGTTAAGCTACCGAGAGCAATTTTGGTTGCTAGTTTTATATTGATTGTGAGGTTTTGGCATTATGCTGGTCGCTAGGTTTCAAGTTTATGCTGGATGGTAGGTTCCAGTTTTTAGATTGGCTGCTATATTTCGGCTTTATGTTGTGTTTTAGGTTCAATGATCGAAAAGTTTCTTTTCATATGCTTGTTTTCTTTTGAGATAAACCCATCAGTGGCTTAGTGGTAAATATGTAGGCTTATAACGCTAAAACCTGGGTTTCGATACCTGTGGTGGGCTCAGCACAGATTGTCCATTGTGTAAATATGTGCTTAATAACAAACAGTCTTCTGAGGTCAAAAAAGTAATTCGTTCTCATTTTCTCAGTAAAGTTAAATTTAATATACATACCGTATAAGTGGTATTTCATTTTTATTATTGGGTTGGGTTCAACTAATACTAAGGCAAGTAATCATATCTGACTCCAACCAGTAGTAGTAAGAACTACCATAATAAAAACTTACTGTAAAGTTTCGGTCACTGTATAGTTCACTTTAATATTAAAGAAACTTATAATGTTCTCTAATAAAACAAAACAGCAGTTTTGTAAATAAAATAAAAAAAGGAAAATAAGAAATAAATCTATTATTATCTTTTCTGTTTGCATAGTTTGCTCATCATGCCTAAAATACGCATGCTTATCTTTTTTTTTTTTCCCAGTTAGAAATTGGCTAATGTTTTACTTTATCCTGAACATTACACACCTATAGAACAGTTCTGAAAAGTTTTGGTTCTAGAGACACGTGAAGTTTCTAGAATATTTAATCATTTTCAGCACCCTGATCTTTGTCCAGCAATATCAAAAAAGTATTCCTTTTTCTTAGTGGTATGAATACAAAGAGGAAAGATCAGGATGCATACTTTTGCAAAGTTTGATTGTCAAAAATCTAAAGCCTGCTTTAAAATGATTTTAAAACGAACCCGTATTTCACCATTATTCGTTAATAACAGAAGTCATTCCAAAAGGTAAGCACAGTAAGTAAGTACAGCAAAGTACTTCTTCTTCCAGCAGCTTTCGTTCCCAGGGCTCAGCTTCAAAGAAGAGTGCCATCTAGTGTCACTGATACTTCTGGTTCTTTCTCGCATATTGCCATTCTTAATGGTAAACACACAATGTAATTCACGAAAAAAAAAAAAAAACGACTTTAGCGAAACAAAAATTATGATTTAACTCAAACAGTATGACATTCATAAACACAGTAAAAATAAAGCAACTTGGCATTCATCATAATGCATCATTTTATTCTGTGTTGTAAAACTGAACTTACGTTCAGTTTGGATATTAATTCACTAAAGAATCATCACTGAGTTATACTGAACAAAATGTAATGTGAGGAATTAGGAGCTGAGCTATGTGTAAATTTAGTTTCACAGCACATGAATAAAATTATGCAATCCGAGTAATGCCAAGTAGATTTTTTCACTGTTTATGAGATATCACCCACCGTTAGAGCTGAAGCAGAATATTGGCTCTTTTTCAGTCAAGCGTTTGTGGGTGGATACAGATTATCTAGTTATCTATATTAACACTTAAGCACTTCGAAGTTCAGGTAAAAATGTAATTCTAGTAACAAATAAGATTTTTTGAAAACCATGACAGTTGTATCACTGCTATAATAATAATACACAGATATCGACAATCGTGGTTACATTCAAATATACTCTTTTCACCTGAATGATATAAAACTAACATATTTTAGCCACAAAATTGTTAATCGTAATAATTCTGTGTTAAAATTTTGATACTCTCTTAACGGTTTTCTAATATTTCATAAAACTGATAAAATATGTAAAATGTTTATCTATATCTAATATTCTTTGTCAATATGTTGCTGTTAAACTTTTAGCTTCTTAGAAATATATTGATTTCGTTGTGATGTATGAATTTAACAAGCCCACATAGTAAATGTCTGAAAATCTTTAAATAAATATAACATAAGAAATTTGCTTTGGAAGTTACCAGTATTTTGTATAAAAAATAGCCTAAAAAAATATATATAAGAAGAAAATTTTATTTAAAGCGATTTGTTAAAATAAGAAGTAAATTTCATATGGCATGAAATGAGTTCTGTTACAAGTAAGCTTGTTTTAATTGGTATTAAATACTTAAAGCGAGTTTGGCTTACAACAATAGCTCATGAAGTCATGGCAGACTTAACAGATAAAGGATTCTTGAGTAAGGAAGTACATTTAGTGATTTATTGCGGGGAGATACTACATGTTTCAACAAAACATTGTTTTGTTCTGTCAAAACATGTAGTATGTTCCCCCCAAAATAAATCACTTCATTATGCTTATAAATCGTTGTTTGCCAACTTATTAAGATAAAGGATTACCAGCTGTGGTAATCTTTCAGGAACATATTTATTTGTTTTTAGGCTAAGGAAAAAGAAGAATATTTCAATACCAGTACAAAATTCAATAACAAAGACATGATATACACTTGATAGGGTCTCATTTTATTAAACTAAAACAAATACACAGTAAAAAACTCATGCACTAAACGAACAAATCTAGTGTTCATTACGACCCTTCTGAATGTCAGTGAATAAAATTATTTCAATTATACTAATGATTGAAACTTTCATCGCTTTTGATGGCAGTAGAAAAAAAAAACCCATTAAAACGTTTGAACCTAGT